GAGTCCTCGCAGAACTCATGGCAGACAAGTACTCCGCTGAAAGCCACATCTCAGCTGATCCACGATCATGGTTCGGGATTGAAAACATCGCGAGAAGAGAAAGGAACTGTGTTTTTTTGTACATTTCGTATGAAGATCGGCAAGTTCTTCTCTGGGTATTGAAAGCAAATGGAGACATTTTCTTTCGAAGAACAGACGAAGTGAAAATAGACACTCTTATTGCTGCGCAAGTTTGCGAAGTGGAGGGAGTTTTCAAAAAGAGCGCCGAATGCTTTGGTGTTTTACCCGAAGCGAACTGCGAAGACCGATCGCTGAATGACAACGTGACGACATCTCTTCATGAAGAGAGCCAAGCAAATTTGCGAGGTGACGAAACCAAAGATAACGGAAGAAATCATCATTTGTGCTACGAATGGACCGTCGCACCTGTGGTAGATTTACTCACAGAGCCTGAAATCATCATTGTACCGGATCGTTTTTTGTACCGAGTCCCATTTGCTGCCTTGCGTGATGAACAAGCCGGCAAGTATTTATCGGAGAAGTACAGAATACGCATCGTCCCTTCACTGACAACTATCCGGCTCATTCAACAGTGTCCAGCAGACTATCACAGTCAAACTGGCGGACTGGTTGTGGGTGATCCTACGGTTGGCAAAGTGCAATATAATGGACGTCATATTGACATTACACCATTGTTTTATGCAAGTAAGGAAGCAGAGATGGTTGGTCAACTGCTGGGTGTTCAGCCTATATTGGGAAGTCGCGCAACAAAGCAGGCGGTTCTTCAAGCAATACCTTCAGTGAGTCTGATACATCTTGCCGCACATGGAAATGCCGAAAGAGGAGAGATTGCCCTCTCTCCTCAATGTACTATTAACAGTACTCCACAAGAGGAAGACTACCTCCTGACAATGTCCGACATTGAAGGAGTTCAAGTGCGAGCTAAACTGGTAGTACTCAGCTGTTGTCACAGTGGGCGTGGATTGATTAAAAAAGAAGGAGTTATTGGAATCGCTCGAGCATTCCTAGCATCTGGTGCACGTTCAGTGTTGGTAGCATCGTGGGCTATAGAAGACAAAGCAACGGCGAAGCTCATGAAACATTTCTATAAACACCTTGTGCGTGGAGAAAGTGCCAGTGAATCTCTTCACCAGGCCGTTCAATGGTTGAGAAGTAATGGATTTTCCAAACCTTCCCAATGGGCTCCGTTTGTGTTGATGGGGGATAACGTGACATTTGATTTTATGAAAAAAGGGTAAGTCTGATTAGAATGAGCAATTTTCTAGGATAAACCGATTAGCACACTTAACTTATTCACTTCACTCAGTTGCCGTAATTTTTATGTTTTTTTTTTGTCTTTGTCTTTCATCCATAAAATGCCAGGAAAAAGAACTTGATTTTATCTAGCGCTCGGAGCCAGAATTTTTTCACAGAAGGCTTTCTAAAATTGGCTTTGAATTAGCATTTCTTTTGTATGCAATATACTCGGAAATAATCAGTCAAAGTCGATGCGATACTACACGTTATGACGATGAAGGTAACTTGAGAAGCTGAAAAAATTAACTTTATTTGTGAAAAATCAACAAAAATAACAATAAATTGACAATCTTAAAGTCACTTTCGTATCAAGCATGGTATGTTTGACAAGTTTAGACAATCATAGCCAATGGAATTGAAGAAGAAAGTAATTTCTCTGATTGGAAATCTGTTTCGTTTACTTTAAAGCTGAAATAGTGACAAATTTATAATGCTTTTTTCAGGAAAGAAGGACTCGAGGAGGACAACAACGAGGCGGAGAAGAAACAGAGTGACTACTGATCCTACACAAAGATTCTTCTTCCTAAACATTGTCGTTCAATGGACACTGGTATTACTTTGCGAAGACATTTTTAATTTTTTTTCAGTCAAGTAGTAGATTTTGTGTGCTTTTGTGATGATGATGATAATGAAACCTGCAACTAAGTCGTTTGATCTGTAAAGTATACTATCAATAGGGATCTACAATAAATTGGGATGGGAAAACTGAACGCAGGAAATTAGCTTAATGTATGAAAATGTGAGAATGAGGCAAAGTTTCGTCAGAACTCAAAGTTAATCCTTGATTTAAATCATTATAATTCTGTTTTCAATCCTCCCGCTGTACGCGCACGTGATTATTAGAGTGATTAAGACTTTTCACAGGTGCAGGAAATGATAACATAACAAACTAACAGAAAATGGAACAAAAAGATCCGAGATACTGAAGAAACAATCAAATAGAAAAGAGGAGGTAGTAATGTAAAAATCAGACAGAGAAGGGAGAAATGGTTGAGATTTACCACAAAAATCAAACATTGTTGCGAGATACTAACGCCAAACAGAAGGGTGCAAACAGTTCGTAGGATATGAACGTGACAATCAGCCAGAATAAACCCTTTAACTCCCAAGACCTCATTAGTAATTCTCCCTATTGTCTGCCATAAAATATTCATGATTTCAATTTGGAGAATTTGGTATTGGATCAACTTGTAGTTCTCTAATTGAGTTTTCTTCTTTATTCTCCTCACTTGTCTGCTTGATTCTGTGTTGAAAAGAGCCTTAACCTCAAAAAGAACGAAAATAACAGAGACATAAGTTTAAAGTGAAAAAAGACAGGAAAAAAGATTTTCCAAAGTACCAAACATAGCAGAAAAAAAAAACAGTTTTTCTGAAATGGACAAAAACATACGCACACATAGTTATTTGAGTTGTGGTCCATTGTCTGATGTTTTGGTCTAAAAGAAAAAGAGAGTTAACCTCAAAAAAAAGAACGAAAATAAATTAGTTTAGTTAAAAACAAAAAAAAACTTAAACTCACACATAGTTATTTCGTGGTCCATTGTCTGTGTGGTCTGAGTAATTAGAAACAAAAATAAGGAGAGAGAGGAGAGAGAGGGGAGGGAGGGGAGAGAGAGGGGGAGAGAGGGGAGAAGGGGGAGAGAGGGGGGAGAGGGGGAGAGAGGGGGAGAGAGGGGAGAGAGAGAGGAGAGAGAGGGGAGAGAGAGAGAGAGAGAGAGAGAGAAGAGAGAGAGAGAGATGGGAGAGAGAGGAAGGGAGAGAGGAAGGGAGAGAGAAGGGGAGAGAGAAGGGGAGAGAGGGGGGGAGAGAGGGAGAGAGGGGAGAGAGGGGGAGAGAAAGGGGAGAGAGAGGGGGAGAGAGGGAGGAGAGAGAGGGGAGAGAGGGGGAGAGAGGGGGAGAGAGGAAGGAAGAGAGAGGGGAGAGAGAGAGAGAGAGGGGGAGAGAGGAAGGGGGAGGGAGAGAGAGGGGAGAGAGAGGAAAGGAGAGAGGGGGGGAGAGGAAGGAGAGAGAGGGGGGAGAGGGGAGAGAGAGGGGAGAGAGAGGGGGGAGAGGGCGAGAGAGAGGGAGAGGGAGAGAGAGGGAGGGAGAGAGAGGAGGGGAGAGAGAGGAGAGAGGGGAAAAGAGGGGGGAGAGAGAGGGGGGGAGAGGGGAGAGAGGGGGAGAGAGGGGGGAGAGAGGAGGAGAGAGGGGGAGAGGGGAGAGGGGGAGAGAGAGGGGGAGAGAGGGGGGAGAGGGGGGGAGAGAGGGGAGAGAGGGGGGGAGAGAGGGGGGAGAGGGGAGAGAGGGGGAGAGAGGGGGAGAGATAGAGAGGAGAGGGGGGAGAGAGGAAGGGAGAGAGGGGGGGAGAGAGGGGGGAGAGGGGGGAGAGAGGGGGGAGAGAGGGGGAAGAGAGGGGGGGAGAGAGGGAGAGGAGAGAGAGAAAACTTATTTTTATTTACCACTTTTTTCGGTCCATACAACTTGATTATGGGGGAACTTTTTAGTTCCTCTATTTTGCCCCAGCTTCAAGACTGTGGCTCATCACTGTTCCTAATAATATACATGAAAAAATTACTCAGTTCTGATTGGTTAAGACAAATGCAGTTTTCAGGTAATTCAGTATAAAGAAATAACAAACCAGACATTCTTATCGGTCAATAATCAAAGAAACTCACAGATAGCCAGTCAAATGCGAGCCTCGGATGTCGCAACATTTGGATACACTGAAAATTTGCGAGCAAAACAATGGCCGGCGTATCAAGTAAGTTTTCTTTCGCCACCGCAACAACAATACAGTAGCTAAAAAACAGCTCTAAGAACGAAAACAATGTAAAAAGCACTGCTCTTTAGTTATCGGTTTGGAAAAAGTGATGTTTAGAGAACGGAATTGCCGAGGAGATTGAAAATTTCGAGCAGACTCAGCTTAACACTTTGCTCGACTGATTCTATGCCGAAATTAAAAGCAAACATGATTAAACATCGCAAACGACGATTTCATTTCATCGAAAGTGATTCGGACACAAACTGAACAAGTCCTTGAATTGTTTAGCCGAACTTTGAACTTTTTGTGCCCTAAAGATGTGAAAATATCATTGTATATTATTGTTTTGATCGTACGCGGTTGTTTTGACCGAACGCAAGGTTTGAATAAATTATTTTTTCACTTGATGCGCGCGCTTTGCTTCTCCACAATTATGATAAGCTATCTCGTATTCTTTCATGGATGTTATTAGTACGTAATCACATGATTTTTCTCCAATTCACATCTACGTATTGACAAACGGCAGTCGAAGCCCTTGGAAGGCATCTAAATGACCACATTTATTCTCTGATGAGACTAAGAACACATTTGAAAGTTCGGAGTGTCCGACGTATCTGCAGCCTTCTTCTCAGATAACTCTCGGGTCCAAACGGTCCTGTACAAAGAAATAATACAAAGTTTATGTTCTTGGGCATGACTATGTTTTGCGCCCGACTCAGAGTCATTTTAGCCCTTTCCGTCAGGCGAAGGTTATAATGCCACTGAGAAGCGCCCAAAAACACAATCATGCTTTAGAACATATCATTTACACTTTTGGAGAGTATTGAGAAAATAAAACCCGAAAAAATAGGAAAAAAATTCAGAAGGAAGGAGAGGGGATTCCGGATGGAATGGGTCAGTAGCATTCTGGTCATCCCCGCCCCCTCCTCTGCACCGTACAAACATGGCTGGTCAGAAGGCTTCACTGCAGGCAAAGAATGGTAAAGCGCTACAAGACATTGCAAGGAGAGGCTATACATGGGGAAGCCCACGAAAGGAGAACTGGGGTATGCAAACTACCACAGGTCACTACGCAGATGAATCAATCCAGGGGTATTCAGGTGAGGTTCGTTGAATAATCTGGAGGCCCAAATCACCGGAATAGACCGAAGTTAGGACGATAGAATATGGAATTGTTTGTGACATTCTTGCTAAATTTAGCCGGTTTGAGACCCCGACAAAGAGGACTGGAGACTACTTACCCTTTGCATGTGATTGGTCGATGTCTTGGGACACCAAAATTTAAAGGTGAAAGAGACGACTGATTCCTTTCGATCAGAGCTTCGATTTCTTTCAAACGTTTTAAACTTTTATTTTCGATAGAGTGATGGTCGAGATGAATTTCGCAACATCGTCAGTAGTCAATCTCCGTTGGGAAAGACTTTTCTCCTGAAGGAATTAACCATTCACAAACGGTTTTTACAGGAAGGGAAGGCTACCATCAAACCTCTAACACTGAAGATTCAAATAATGTGTTCGAAATTGTCCACCGAATTAGCTCGCGACGTTTCTAAAATGTCTGTCATTGAAACTTGCTCAAAGTAGACAAAATGGACTTGCAAGTAACAGAAGACGGCTTCTCAGTGATAAAGCGCGGTCGTTTGAAAACATAAGCCCTCTTACAGACAAGGATTTCACAGTGGGCTGCAAGAAAAGACCTCTGGAAGATAAGAACGGTGTGACACCGAAGCCATTTAAAACTACAGGTAAAGAAAGCGATTCGAATTGTGGAACGACGAACACAGCGGACAGGCAAGAAGACGTGTCAGCTCTTTAAGTTCTTTTCAAATGAATCTTATACCTGAACAAATGGTAGTGATAAACGCCATAAGAACTGGAAAGAGTGTGTTTTTTACTGGTAGTGCAAGAACTGGCAAGTCATATCTCTTGAAACGTTTGATAACAATGTTACCACCTCAGAGTACCTTAGTAACTGCAAGTACAGGAGCAGCAGCTTGTCACATTGGTGGGACTACGCTTCATGTGTGTTTGTGTGTGTGTGTGTGTGTGTGTTTGTGTGTGTGTGTGTGTGTGTGTTTGTGTGTGTGTTTGTGTGTGTGTGTGTGTTTGTGTGTGTGTGTGTGTGTTTGTGTGTGTGTGTGTTTGAAAACACTTAGACAAATTTTTAGCGGCAGAGTCATATGCGACGCTAAGACGTATATCAGCCCTTCCCTCACTCCCTCAGAGATTGCTTTTGAGATTCTTTTAATTTGAATAGTGTTTGTAAAGTAAAGTTCATTATCTTAATTTTTTTCACAAGGAAACCAAAGTTTTCTGGCGCTTTTCGCAACCTTGTTCCCAGAGCCTCTGTTACGCTTATCCAGCAGAAAGTAATATCTCTTTCCCGACCATTAGTCAAGGGAACAAAAACTCTGGAAATGAGATAAGCGCTTTATAAGGCCGGATAATGTAAGACTACTGTGAAAAAAATCATGTTATTTCGAAACAAAAAAAAAAATCACTTGAGCCATTCAACATCCGAACATCATTAACAAGAAATCTCGGTTGCATTGGTGTTTACGAAGGCTAATTAAAATGAAAGAAGCATTTTATAGCAATGTGCATCTCTACCTTCTTAATTAATTCGGCCTCATCAGAGTGTATAAAAGAACTTTTGTAGGGATGGCTGAGACACGTGTTTCTCGCGCCTTCTAGATATTCAAGGTTTAATGAAATGCTTGGAAATATCGGTATTTTATTCATATAATATTCTTTTTTTTTGAAGCTTGATATTGGTAAGTAAAATGGGAACAAATCTGGCTTTAAACGCTGCTTGGAATGTCGCAAACTACCTCCTTGAAACCGGTCTATTTGCCAAAGCTATTGAATTTTATGAAGAGTGTTTTGTTCTTCTAAGGATCTGCATCACGAGCGGCTTGGAGCGCACCATACGAAGAAGACCCCGCGAAGTTGAAAGACAATTGTATATGGGTCTCGCCAATGCCTACTCCCAAACTGGCAATCCAAAGAAGGCGAAAGAGTTGTGCGAAAAATATCTCGAGATCAACAAAAACTCCGGGATCGAAAGAAGAGAATCTAATTGCTATGTATTTATCGGTAGAATGCACTTCTATCTTGGCCAATGTAAGGAATCATTAGCTTTTCATGAGAAAGCCCTGGAATTAAGGAAGAAAATAAAAGATAAGAAAAAGGTGGCAACTTCTTGTTGTGCCATTTCCTCTCTGTATTATAACTTATGCCAGTACGACGATGCATTAAAATACGCACAGGAGGCTCTTGAGATCAGTGAAGAAATTAAAGATCAAGAAATGGAGGGAGTCGCTTACGCAAACCTATCCAATGTATAATTCGCACTCTAACAGTTGAGAAAGGGATTTATTATCTAGAAAAAGACCTGAAAACCAGCATAGAGTTTCATGATTGGGAAGGAGAAGCAATGGCCTACACCAATTTGAGTGCCGCTTACCGTGTTTTAGACCAAAATGAGAAAGCCATCGAGTACTGCGAAAAGGGACTTAAAATTTTTCGACTTAAAAGAATCAGACAGGGTGAGGGAAGAAGCTGCCTCTTTCAAGCTATTACCTCCATCGTGGAGATTACGCAACAGCCTTGAAATATAACGAAGAAGCCCTCAAAACAATTCGTTCACTTGGTTACAAAGCAGAAGAAGGAGATATCCTACTCAGTCAAGGCAAGATTTGTAATATATTTATGCATTATGAAAGGTCTATCGAGTGTTGCAAGGAAGCTCTTAGTATCAAAACAGCTATGGTAGACCAGCCAGGCAAATATCAGTGCTACTTGGCCTTTGGCAAAACCTACAACAACCTCGGTCAGTATAGAAAAGCAATTCACTATGCGAATAGAAGTCTCAAAATGGGCGAAGAACTGGAATTCGGACATGGAACTCCCTTGAGTATCATTGGTAATGCACTGTACTATCAAGGTCTCTTCGAAGAATCAATTGAATATTTCACGAAAGACCTTGAAATATGTAAGGCAACCGGAGATCATTGCGGCGAAGGAGACTGCTACTCAAACATTGGTACTGCATATTTCGCATTGGGGCAGATTGAAAAATCAGTCGAGTATCGTAAAAGGGCACTCCAAATCATGAAAGAACTTGGATTAAGAGATGGCGAACGCTGAGTAAACCAAAGCTTTGGCATAAGTCTTGTTAAGAGGAACAATCTACCAGAAGCGGTCCAGTGTTTTTCGGAAAGCATACGTTGCCACGAAGAGATGCGAGCACACCTTGCAGATGAACATAAGTTGTTGCTAGATGACCAGAATGTCTCAAGCTACAAAAGTCTTTGCTTTTTGCAAATCAAGCTCGGCAAACAACATGATGCTCTGTGCATCGCAGAACAAGGAAGAGCCCGTGGTCTTGTGGACCTGCTTTCAGCGAAGTATGGTACTGAGAATGCCAGTGGTTCGAGAGCTCTCAATTTGAATGCCATTAAAGAGCTTGTCACTGAACACCAAGCAGATATGCTCTACTTGGCAACTCAGCTAGGACCCATATCGATTTGGTTCCTAAAGAAAGACGGAAGAATATCCTTCTATGAGTCTGCCTGGACAGATTCCCCTGGAGATAATTTAGAGAATATATTGGAGGAATTAACAAAAACCATTTTACATTCGTTTGATAACGTTGACTGCGAGGATCGATCGTTGGCAGAATGCTATGGAGGTGAGTTTCCATCTGCAGCAAGGCACAGCGAGGTATCTGGGTCTGCCAACAAAACTGGAGAACGTGAACACGGAAATCTGGAATCAATGTTAAAGTTAATATTCAAGCTGACAATCTCTACTTTTGCTGATGTTATCGAGGGTCCAGAGATCGTGATTGTCCCGGAGGGGCTGTGGTTTCTTATTCCTTTTTCTGCATTGCTAGATTCATCCGGTAACTTCTTTTCGCAAGCGTATAGGGTCCGCCTCGTTCCCTCTCTTACAACCCTGAAACTTATTCTTGACACACCAAAGAACTTTCACAGCCAGGCTGGAGCACTTATTGTGGGAGATCCGAAGGTAGGCTGTATAAACATTGATGGAAATGTTGTGGAGTTGCCTCCATTACCGAAAGCCAGAGAAGAGGCAGAAATGATATCAGAAATGCTCCAAAAGCCATGTCTCGTTGGAGAAGAGGCTACAAAGGATGAAGTTTTGCGAAGAATTCAAGATGTGAGCTTGGTGCACATCGCAGCCCATGGTAATGCCGATAGAGGAGAAATAGCTCTTGCACCCAATAAATCCCTTAGGGGTGTTCCAAAGAAAGAGGGCTGCATCATAACGACGAGAGAGGTTGCTGGGGTTCGTATTAAAGCCAAATTAGTGGTACTCAGCTGTTGTCACAGTGCTCGAGGAAAGATCCTTGCAGCCGAAGGAGTGGTTGGGATCGCCCGTGCATTTCTGGTGTCCGGGTGCCCGTTCAGTTCTAATGTCATTGTGGGCTGTAGACGATGAAGCCACCAGGGTTTTTATGACCATATTTTACAAGTGCATGATCCATGAAAAAATGAGTGCGAGTGAAGCCCTTCACCTTTCCATAAGTGTAATGCGAGAATCATCAGAGTACAATGATATGAAGCCTGGGCACCATTTGTCCTACTTGGAGATGACGTCAAAGTGAATTTCGATGGGAAGGTAAGAATTTAGATCTCGGAGAGTTTTTAGCTCCATACAAAAGTATTACAGCTGTTACTGACTGTTTCTTCACTCGTGTAAGTGAGTATCGATCTTTGGCTTCCATTTTGTAAACAGGTGTTCCTTCACATTTGTTTTTTATTACTTGAACCCAAGATTTGGGCCGCTGCTGATGGCCGATCTTCTCAATGTTATTTTCTCCTTTTTTTTTTAACTTGCTAACAAACAAGTCGCGACTGACGCGTTGAAGTTGATGGTTTTTGACCAAGGAAATGCAAGTAAATGCCTAGATTGCAAACTTTTCGCTGGTGCCCCTTATTTAGTTCATCTTGTTGTTTCTCTATTTCGTGATTATGTTCGTAATAATAACAAATAGTTTCTAGATCTACTTTCTTTACCATTCGCGAATCTTATAATTTCTATTGTTGCTTCATATTATAAATGTATGGTACCTCCTTTGGTTTAATTCTATTTGCTTTAGTTGAAGTGTTTTAAATTTCAAGCCCGATACTGCACGTAAAAATAGGAGAACGACTTCGAAAAAAAACCAAAAAAGTCACCATTAAAGACAGCATACGCAAAGAAACCTCTGCGTTCCTCCTTTGCAAATTTAAACCCACAGGAAACAAAGTAAAGGGATTGAAAATAATATGCAACAGCATTGAATTACACTACATTGCATTGCACTAAGCATAGTTTGTTGTTTTTCCTTTCTCAACAGAATTCGTAGTCAGATTCCAACAGGTCAAGGAGAGCCCTGACGCGAACAGATCGGAAACATAGGGCACCAATTCAAAGGACAAAGATCCGTGACTTTGTACCAATCAGTATCAAATGAAAAATTTGTGGAATGTCATTAGTTCAATACTATAACACTGAAAAAGATAAGTCGATTATTAGCTCTTGCTTGTTCCTGGCCAGGCATAGCCCAGGCATATGGCCGTTTTCAAGTAACTGGGTGTAGGCAGTTTGCATAAGTTTAATTCGAATAGTCTTAACTTTATCAAGGAATACACTCTTAGAATGTATTTCATTAGGGAGTGCCACTTAGATAGAGTAGAAACAAGGGATTTTCAAAGACAATTAGACAATTAGAAGTACTACTTGTGGTCACATATTTCACTGATCACAGACGGATGAATTCAGATTAATTAAGAAAGAAAAAAAAAATTCACCAACCAGCTCTAGGGCTGCTTTTGCGGTGTCGTACGATGAAAAATCTAATGTCAGATTCACCAGAGATCGTTTGGGTAATTCTATGTTATATATCCTAAACGTTTCATTAAAATAAAGGGAAATCGAGCTAGTAAATGGAATTTGGGAGTTTTAATGCAGAAAACAGCGAGAGTCAAGTTATAATAAACGAGACATAAATGAAATCGTTGAGTCTTTGACGTTATGAAGAATTTCTTTGCTATGCGATTGCCGACTTAGCTAGAACATATTTTCAGTAATGGCGGACGACTTTCGGGCAACTTTGGAACGACAAAAAGCGGCAAATTGTATTCGTAATGAGTACAACATTGTGTAAACAAAAAAATCCGACAAGTGTCATAAATCTGCGTTGGAATCTTGGTACTGCTAGGCAATCCTTGCCAAATTATTTACGGATAACAGAACAGGAAGTCTATCGATGTGTGCTTTACGAAATATCTTAAAAATGTCTAATTTATAATGTAAGAAAAAGAGGGACCACCGCTCAAAGGCAAGCACCTCACGGTATGTCCTTCGGTAAGTTAAAGAAAACTTAAAACGCTCTACAATGAAGTCTTTCAGTCGAATCGAGTAGTCGAGTAGGTCTGAGTTACAACACAAACTTTCCGGAGCTGACGTAACTTCGTTCCTTTCTTGTTTATACCCTTTCCTCCAACGTCGCGCTTTTAGAGGCCACTGCAACTTACAACAACTTATTGTAGCCTACAACCTAGTGCTTATTGTTCATTTTATAGCGAATAGTGATGAAAGGTGCAGATGTGCTGCTGATTTTAACCCTCTTAAAAGGGGCACGTTCATCGTAGATATTGCAAAATAAATGCTGCCAGGGCCAAAAGGCATCGACTTCGTCATCGAATACCGATATTATGTAAAAAGACGCCGTTTCAGCGTAAGCGCCTTTTCACATGATATCGGTACTGATGGCTATCGTTTCGAATCGTTTCGTGTCGTGTCGTGACGTATCGCCTCGGATCGCATCGTATAGAATGCTATCGTATCATTAGGGTCTCAATTTGTCCTCCAGCGTGTAAAATGAATTAATGTTGCGTGTTTTAAAATAAATAGCGGATCCCAAAAGACCAGCTGATGGTGAACCACCTAAAAAGAAGACAAGAAACAAACAAAAAAGAGAAAAATTAATTTTTATTCGTGTCGTCTCTTTCTTCAAGAATATCAAAGAAAGTGTATGACGTGATGTTTTAGAGCAATGTTAGTATCTGAGGCGCTGGGCAACTATCCCTCCCCTAACCCTAACAACAGTCAACTGATAACAAGTTAAGGTTAATGTTGGGTTAGGGGAGGGGTAGGTGAGCAGTTGCTCAGACACTGGCAAATTTCTGTTTCCCTTCAGACTTAATCGCACTACACCAATTCGTGCATTTTTTTAATGCGTAACTTAATTTCAGTTTCCAATCTACCTTGTAGTTTTTCTTCGACAGCAACAGTTTGATTTTTAGTCGCAGTCCGCTATTTAGTCTCTTGGTTGCCCTATTTCACGAAGAGGAAGGTGGCAAGGAGGACTGGGGATCGATATTTGATAGGACCACTACATCCGAGATCGAGTGGCGTATTTCTCCGATGTAACAAGAGTGGTCATATGAAACAACGACGTCATGATTCCAACCTTTCCAAACTTTGCTGAATGAACGTAGGTCATTAGTAACTTTGGTTTGTCCATATAATTAAAGAAAATTGCGCGTTAACTCGAAGAAATGAATTTTACGCTCGAGTGGCAAGAACAATATCTCACTCATTCGCTACGCTGACTCATGAGATATTGTTCTTGCACTGTGTAATATCCTGTATCCTTGGACATTATATTCACTCACATTCATATTCACTCTGGTTTTCAGTGTCTGTATTCCCTACTTATGCAGCCGATCTTTTGTTAGTAAAACATAAGCTCTACTTGAAGAAAACCTAAGGCTTCACTGTAAAGTCAAAAGCTATTACGAGAAGTTCCGGTTGCGGAGGTAACATGTTGCCTTCCTTCGATGGCATTTTCATTTGATTGGAAAGGAAAAAAACAGGAAGGCCGCATTTGATCCAATTTCGTATGAAGTTAAAGGAACGACTGTTAATGAACAGTATCAGAGGAGACCCGGAGGTCGTGAGTTGCCATGGAGACAGGAAAATGAGGAAACTCTTATTTACATTGGTTTTCATTGCCTGTATTTCCCATGTATCCAGCTGATCTTATGTTAGTAAAACGAAGCTCTTGGCAGAGAAGTGGGCTAGACGGGAATTGTCCCCACCATAAATGCCAGTTTAAAAATAAGCACAAAGAAAATAATCGTGTTCCTTCTTTGTTCGACTTCGATCAAATTGATGTGAAAATAGGAGTTTTTCGTTGGAAAATATGCTCAGTTTTAGCTTTGAAATTACGATATGTCATTAATAAAATAAAAAATAGATAACCATAATCCCAGCTGGTTATGCTGCTAAAAACATGGAGGATTGTAACAAACGTTGTTTCTTTGCTCGATTGCAGTTTGGTGGAAAGGAGCGACTACGTGAAACCAAGCGAGGAGAGGCGAGTCAGCGCAAGGGTTGTCATCATTTCTCATCGTCGGCCGGGTTTGTATAGATGAGTAGTAAGTCTGGTTCATTGACAGTCTTTCCTGAGTATGCTTGCTTGGGTGAATTTTGAATTCACGTTGGCGGAGATCGTGACCGAACTCTAAGTATAGTTAACTCTGTTAAGCACATATAAGAAATTCACATATTTGAATCAACAATTTTTTACCACAAATATGTGTTTTGTTTCTTCGTGCAGCGATCTCTCTTTAATTATCTAAACATTTTATTTTTGCACTCAGTTGTTGCAGAGCGTCGAATGGAAGACTTAGTCTGTTTAATTTTACCATTGGTTCTTTCAGTGATATCATTAACGCAATTGTCTTAAGCGATATTTCATCACTTCTTTCGTTATCCTTCACTCGCCTGAGCGCTACCGTTTCCTTCCATTGTTCATTCAGGGTTATTGTAACTGAGGCTCTGCGGGTGGGGCCAGTTTTTTTAGACCAATTATAGAGCGAGGTAAAGCCAAAACAATGTATTCTGGGATTACTTTCCTTCGACACTCTTTAAAAATGGCTCTATCCTTTTTTACGCCTTCACTTTAAGTCCCAGTGAAATGATCGTCTGACGGCTGACACAGAAAACTGAGATATATGCAAAGAAGCCATAACTGCTGCTTAAGTAAATTTAATCATTGAGGAGACCCGACATAAAAGCTTGACTTGAAGGCCGCAGTCAGCATTTAAATGTAATCAACAATAATGATTTTAAAATAACAATAATATTAATAACAACAACAATAAAAATAATGTCACTAGTATCAATATAATAAGATACAAGTGAAGTTTACTAAAAATAGTTACAAGTTTTTGCACGGTGGGTTAGCAGACGGTTTTGCCTCTGAGTTTTATAAAGAAGAAAGGTGGAGATGAAAAAAAAGGAAAGACGACTGGTTCGATCTCATTGCAAAAACAATGATTCCTAACTTTGAACTTTTATATACTGACATTTATCAGCCTCAAAATTCGGCTAGTATTGTGGTCTATTTCTTTTATAATAAATTGGTGAATAATTTTTGAGAAATGGCTTTATTTATTACACAAGCCGCTGCCATTTGTGAGATATTTAAAACATCAATGTTAAGCTTATCATAATTGCAACGTGGCGCAATTTATGTTGATTTATGCATCTAATAGTTAATATATAATCTCTTGCTATGAATCAGTTATGCTTAGCATTCGAAAGGTGAACCGAACATTTATAACTTAATGTTATTTAGCGTTCCTTTGACGAAATATAAAACCCCGGGCTCATTCGTCAGTAGCACTGTAGTCTTCCTCACAAGCATTTCAATAAGAGATTTATCACAGTCTCATTAGCTAACTAATTTTTTTCGCAGTCGAGATTGATTACTACATAAGAGTCTCTCATCATGAGTGATAACAGAAAATGCAGCATTTATAGCATAGCACCAGCAACCTTAAATAAAAAGTTTTTTCTGATCTATGTGCTCCGCACGTTTTTCATTCCACCTGTTCTGGTTGCCGCCTTAAAGCTTGTCTCAGAATGAGTTTCTATGCCTCTTTGTTTTGTTATTCAATCAGAGATGCTGTAATGTTACCCGAGGAATAATTTTCATTGAAATTGGTAATGTTCGTGCTCATATGCACCTTCCATTTTCGTAACGAGAAAACATCAAAGCTTCTAACGATTTCATTTCGAACGATCTGTCATGCCCAAACATCTCACCACCTAGAACGTTCGATTGTACCACTCTGCCCCAGTCTCCTTTGTAGCCCCCCTTAAAGGTCGTCACACCGCGTGCTCTACCTTAAAGTATGTCTTTCATGTATTTCACTTCATCTCCTGATAGCGCTTTATCAACTACAAGAAGATCTCTCATGTACCCATCAAAAGTCGGTTTATTTATGCTGTCTCGTTTCAACCCAATGTCGAAAACTGTATGACTATTTTTTTTCAGGTTTAAAAGACCATCAGAAACTCTCTGGATACCTTGTATAATTCCATCAATGTACAGAATTCCCTCTTTCTTCTCTCGGCTCCAAGTGAGCGCCACGTGCATCCATTTACTGGGGATGATCTTCCTTTGATTATGAGAGAACAGAACACAAAAGGGAATGAGGCTTTGTACAAATCTCCGCTTCTCAGTATACTTCCTAGGAAGATAAATTGCTCTGAGATACACACTTGAGTCCTCTATGTGTCTCTTCCTATTTATTAATATTACGTAGGAAAAGACAAGGTCTATTTTAAGCACTTACCCAGCACAGAGATAAACCCGATCAAGTCCACCACGTTTTCGAAGATTAGCACAAATTAGATAACTTCGTTGAATAAAGATTCTGAACTGATGCGGTTCTGACCAGTCGGAATAGATATAAACTGGAAGATTACTTGGAAGGCTCAAAACCTTTATCCAACACATGATACTAAAGCTGATAGCTCGGATCGGGAGTGCTGGGGTTTCTGCGTAGGAATGCAAGGATCCATTCAAGTACAGCACTTTCCTGCCATCAGTATTTTGATAGGAAGCACCATTGTATAAACTTTTCAATTCATGAAAATAATGGAAATAGATTTGTTAACATGCATACCATACCATCTGAAATCCTCTTACAAGTAGCTAAATGAAATAATGTCACCATTAACTGAAAATATTTAATAGCGTTTCAAGAAAGACAGCTTAATGATCCTCTCCGGGAAGTATTCACTGTATGAGGAAGTCGAAGGAGATTTTTGAAATTCCTGTGAAAAAATTGGGGAAATAGCTAAAGCAAACGCAGCAAAATAACCGCAAATGTTTGCTGAAACTAGAGTTTATCCACAATTATGAGTAAGAATTTGAACTATTCACAACAATAGTGTTCGACCAGTTCTTCCCAGCAGAAGAAAGCGTTCTTTCATCTTACCTTACATTTGAATCAGACCCATTGAGTGCCCAATGAAAACGAAATCCTTTGAATCCTTGAATTTAAAAATTAATACTGGTGTAGGTTGACCACGATTTATCAAACAAACATTTTTTGTTTAAGTTTTGAAGATGTTTAAAGAAGGACGAACTAAATTTAAAACAAACTAACAAAGACAAGAAGTCTAGAAGGCAAATAATTGGACGATTTGAAATAATTCCCTTATTTTCGTCCAGGGATCCACAAACTGCTTAGTGTAAACAACATTTGCAAATACTACAGACTACTAAATGTAATACAGCACAAGTGGAATAACTGTTTAATTTTTAAGCTCATGTACCTTTTGTGAAGAAGAGGCTTCCTATTAACTCTCATCTTTCAAAAAGGCGGTGAAAGAAATCCTGTAATAAGCCTCACTAGCGCTATTGCAGGGTCCTACTGTGGCCGAGCTTACGGTGAATATAAAGTCTTAATATGACATGCGTCTATAAAAACACCCACCCACGCATAAGAATCCATCTCCGACCATATTATCTTTGCATTTACAAATGTAGCCTCCAATAGTGTCGCTGCAAATGGCGTTCACGTGACACTTGACACTTCCGATGTTACATTCAATGATATCTGAATGAAGATAGATTTGATACTGTCAATCATCCAGACTTATACCTCCTCGCTTTCGCAACTGTAATCGCAAATAGGACGGGTGAAGTGGTACCCGTATGGGTTGCAAGCGTTTTAGGTTTAAAGTTTGAAACGAGCTGAGTAGAAAAAAAAACCTGAGCTTATCACTTACTGAACACTTCGTACTGGTTACCAGAAATCATACCGTGACACTCTACAGAGTAAGAAATAGCTAAATGTGGGTGGATGCATCGTCAGTTATCCCTGGCTCTGGAAAAAAAACGAATATCGCCTTCTTACTTTTGCACTTTTTTCCATCTCCTGAAAATCCAGCTTTACAAGAGCAGATAAATGAGCCCACGGTGTTGTTGCAGTACGCGTGAGCTGAGCAGTCATGCGATCCAGAGGAACACTCGTCCGTATCTTCAAAAAAACAATGAGACCCTAAGTTAACTAACGATTAAACACAAGAGAATAATGATCTCATTAAGACTACCATCAAACCATTCTCTCGATGTTTTTTTTAGCATGAAAAAAGGTACCACCTACATGGTGAACGGCGAAGACCAGACGGCTTAACCAACTTTTTCTAAAATCTATATTACTACATTGCTCAAATATAGCACTTTTGTCTGTCAAATTGCACAACGCTAACAATTAAATAATTGTTCACTAACATACGAAGAAATGATTGCAAGTGGAAAGGTGAAGGCTTTTTCTCAGATCATAGGTCATTACGTGCCACGCTTTACGTTAAACAGGTGTATAACAAAGGGTATATAGCGATAATAATACAAACCTCTTTCGCAGCTTTCAGTTCTAGTCCAATTAGCAGGGCAAACGCAGCGGAGTTTTCCGTGAATTGTTGGTACACAAGAAGCAGCTGGGGGACAAGGAGAAGTGCCACAGAACTTCTGTTGAAAACAACAACAAAAAGAAGATTTCTATCTGATATTTCACTGAAATAATTATCCATATCACGAAGAAATTACGTGTACTACAGTTTTTTCAGAAACTTGAAACCTTCCTTAAACTTTTAGGTTGGCTGGATGAACTTTTCTTCAACTCCTGCTGGCCGATAGCAGTTGACCTTAAAACTTTATTCTGACGTCTCACTCAGGTAAATTTAGTTTTGAAACGATCTATACAAAAAAAAATTTTCCTTTTTATCAACAGTTATCCTGGTCGCAATGAAGGTTCACGCTAGCCTGCAGGGCAGGCGTAATACTGGCGAGCGCGTACTCAGTATTTTCTTTCCGTAAATAATAGCCGCTATCTTTTAATCTAATGGCAGCAGAAGGCTGGGGAGAGGAAGAAATTTGTACCGAGGGGGCAAGCGACGGTCAAGAGTAAGAAGAGGGATGGGGTTGGGGGAGTGAATATATTTTCGCCTATGCCCACCCCCTCCCCCCACCAATGCCTCTATCTCTAAATGGCCGGCTGAAAAAACGATCGCGAGCTTTTTCATGTTAACTCGCCTTGAGTTTCTGCAGTCTTGGTTCACGCATTAGATACTGCTCCTACGCCAAAACTTACATCACCTTCCATAGGAGTTCTTTTAAGTCTTGAAAATTTTTAGAGCTACATAGGGGAAAAAACCTCGGTGAGTTCTAAACGTTTCCTTTTTTAAGTACCGTGTCTTTCCAACACCGTTTTTATATCTGCTTTCTAAACTATACTCTTGTCTTACGATGTTCAAGAGAGGATGCCTTTCTTGCTAAGTGTTAAACATGGCGCTGTATTAATCACAAAATGAAACATATGCAGTATACCTACCATGGTCGGATGATAGGAGAAGCCTTCCTTACAAATGAGATGTTCAGGATGTTGAAAGTGATCAGAGTCACTGAGTTCACATTTTAATTTGCCCCTGGTTTCTGAAATTCCAAGATTAAAGGATGAACAGAAGTTCTCTGCGTAACACCTCACTTTACACTGATCTTTGTTATCAACCATCAAGGACTTAATGACGTGATTCTCGAGGTAATCGTCTTCCATGGGTTGAACAAACTCCAAGATTCTGCACGTTTCTGATAATAAAAAACATGAAAAATGCTGAACGGAACTCAAGTTGATTATGAATTGTTCTCACAAAAACCAACATGAAGCAATCTAAGGCAGCTGTATATGCCACAGGGCTCCAGCTGCGTTCGGGCGATACGCACGTAAGGGCAAATCGTTAAATATTTTTATGCTAGGTAGGCTACTGGTGAATTGAGGTATTTCTCCTTGAATAAGTTATCCATCATAATGAATAAAGAATTGTTAAATGTTCTAAATAAAAACAATTGAATTGTTGAATGTTTTGGGCAACTGTCATGAAATTCTGGTTCGCTTGAAAGAGATTTGTTGCCGCCAACTGCTACGTAGGAAAAGTTTTCGCGAAGAAAGGTCTTTTGCCCTGCAATAAGGAATTTTTTACTTGAAAATTTTAATTTGCCCCTGGTCTCTGAAATTCCAATCTTGAAGGATGAACAGAAGTTCTCTGCGTAACACCTCACTTCACACTGATCTTTGATGTCAACCATTAAGGACTTAATGACGTGATTCTCGAGGTAATTGTCTTCCTCGGGTTGAACAAACTCCAAAATTCTGCACGTTTCTGATTAAAAAAAAAAATGAAAAATGCAGAACGAAACACAAGTTGATTATGATGTGTTCTCACAAAAAACAACATGAAGCAATCTGGGGCAGCTGTATATGCCACAGGGCTCCAGCTGCGTTCGGGCGATACGCACGTAAGGGCAAATCGTTACTCTAACCTGCTTTTCTTTATAATTCAGTTTCCCTATCTTCAGCAGATTCTGTGTCAACCAGTTGTAAATATTTTTATGCTAAGTAGGCTAATGGTGAATTGAGGTATTTCCCCTTGAATAGGTTATCCATCATAATGAACACGGAATTATTTAAAGTATTAAATAAAAACAAGTGAATCGTTGAATTTTTGGCCAACTGTCATGGAATTCTGGTTCGCATGAAAGAGATTTGTTGCCGTCAACTGCTGCGTAGGAAAAATTGTCGTGAAGAAAGGTCTTTTGCCCCGCAATAAGAAATCTTCTACTTTAAAATATAAACAGGTGGTGTCAAAGAAAACGTTAATTAATTAGGCTTGGATCTGTCACTGCGTATTCTTAACAAGTCAAGATATTCACTGCGGAAGTCTTAAACAATTTCCTTTGCAAACTCACGACGTCCCTTTAAAATATAAGATAATTTTCAGTTTTTAAAAAGTCTTTCTTTAAAAGCCTTTCAACCTGACATGAGAATTGATTGCAGAGAGTTCGCGCAAGACTTGGTACTTCACAAATTTTTACGTGCTGAAGACCACTACGTAACTTTTGATCGCCACGGGCGAGACAATTTGATTTTAATTTGAAGGGTTGAGCATAGGGCCCATACTTCGGTATCACTAACTATATGGAAGGCTAGAAATTCAACCAGATCAATACTACTTTAAAAGGAAGGGTATATCTAGCTAAGAGCAGCTAAAAAAGTCGTGAATTAAAGAAATTCAACAAGGAAAGGCTAGACCAGCTAAGATTGTACGAAAACAGGGTTTCATATTCATTTGATTACAATTTTGACAGAAAATACTGCAAAAAAAAATTAATAAAATAAAAGCACTGTTTTTCGCGCCTTCGAGCAGGAAGTATTCAGTCAAGAGCAGAAAATATAAAAACCATCGTTTTAATGTTTTCATCCCAGTTCATATAAACTTGCGTATCTACAATGAACGCTTTATTGCTAAGCATAGTAATAATTGCAAAGGGTTACGTCGCTTTTGTGTTTCTTAGTGTTATTTTTGTAAATTCAGTTTTTTCTTGTTCTGAGTTACTTAAGACACATTGTAAACCATAGCTATTGGAATATTTAACGACAGAAACGTGCATGAGAATTCACCTCATGTTCGCACAATTTTTTCTTCTAGATTAAATCTGACCTTGCGCATAGACGTGTGAAACGAACAATATCTTCCACAGAGCAGCAAATGCAGTGGACATGATTTTGACATCAACTTTATCACTTTCCGTCACCCTCGAGGAGACCAACAGCTCTGCTTACAACCTGGATTTTTAAAATAAAATCATTGTTGTTGACAGGTGATGACAGCTGAAAATTTAATTGTGCAGAGGAAAACCAAAGTAGAACCACGCTAACTTAACTAATCGCATTTTTATGAGGTTTTTCTGTATTTCGCCAGACCCCCTACCCAAGTAATATTCTTTCCTGAAAGACTGAATTATTTTTGATGTAAACAATTTCTTAAGTGGATAGAACTGTTACTGTATCAATCGAGATATCACGCAAAGTCCTATTATAACAATAAAATTAAATCATCATATACTAAAACAGTAGAGAACGCTGAAGGCGCACTCTGATTGGCTACTCAAACTCCGAATATTCTTTGCTTTTCATCTCTGAGTAACTCGCGCGGAATTTGCGCCCGAAAGTATTGCAACTATTGCAGGATTAAATGAGGGGTTAAAATCGCCTTTTCGTGCTATATTATCTCACTGCTTTAGTATATACTAAAACAGCTCTTTACCTAAGTGTTGGTGGTTAGTGGTGGATACTTACGTGAGTCTTTTAAGACGGTGCGGCATAAGGAGTCACAACACATCATGAAGTACGATTAACTCTTTGCGAGAAGAATTCGCTCAAAATCTCTTTATAGTTCTCTTGAAGGGGAATATGTTTCCGCGTCAGGCGCAATTCAAGTTGTGCTAACTATTCCCACAAAAAAGCGTGCAAGAAAGCGGAAGTAGAATAATTCATGTTTCGGTTTCTGATTGTTTTAGCACCAGCTGTGTCAGAGGACTAGTTTTTGCCTGTGCAGGTAGCATCAAGCTGAGCTAAGTTGTCACCGAAATAAAAAAATTGGAACACTTCACGAATTTGCGTGTCATCCTTGCGCTACGGTCAGCCTAATCTTCTCTGTATCGTTCCAAGTTTAGTACATGTGCTGCCGTTAAGCGAGCACGTTTATTTGCTTTACCCGACGAAATATAAGCTTGTTTACCGTCATAAACTTCATAGCCAGTGGGAGAAGTTCAAACTTGCCTCAGGCTATGAATATTCAAGTAAACTTTGGACAGAGTGAACTAGTGCGAAAACACGTCTAATATTCGTTTGGTTTGCAGACGGGGTAACTGTCACGTTTTTTCAGAATTTTCCTCGCGGTTAATCAGACGAGTTTTATTATCCTAATAACTCGATAGCTTCTTTAAGAGTCACGTTTTTGTCATTGAAAATCCCTCCAGGCTAAATAATTTTGAAAACTTGTTCCACAGTCATGAGGATCGCAGTTCATCAAAACTTTAAAAATATCTGTTTAATTTTTTTGCGCGAAAAAGGATTGTAGGTTGCAAAACCCTATAATTTTAGTTAGAACAAGGTAGAACATATGGATCACCCAAAGGCAGTTAAAACAGTCTTTATTTCAGATCTCGATAGAGAAGTTCGATACTCTTTAAGCTCCTCCTGTAACAGCTGAGGTCAAGTTTGACTCAAAAAGTAAAATTGAGAAAAATATGGGTAAGCCATTCTCATATTTCACAAAGGAGTGATACCATACCTGTCGATAGAAGATATTTACTGATTTAGTAAAACACGTAAAATTTACATTATTCTCTTCAAAATATTTTGTTTTTGTAGATGATGATTTGAATATTCATCGTCATAAAGTTAAAAGGTTTAATCAAAAATACTCTTCAGGTAGTTGATAGGTAAGTTTTTTCTTTGAATTCCATTCAACCCTGTTTCCGAAAAATCATGTCGCTTAGGACTGTCTGAACGTTCTGAGTAAAGGGCCAAACGTGGTCTTGATTTTCTCAGTCAGTAATGCACAAGATTAATCTCTTTTAACAGTTAACAGTTTTAACAGTTTGACTTAACCTTCTTTGTTCCTACATCTCCTTGAAAACGTCTCAATGCGTCAAATCGTCTGCTGCGCTATCAATGTACAGCGGTTTCTGCAGGTAATTTAGTGTTAACAACTGGGTTGAAGACGAAATTAGCCACCGTAAAGGGTAAAAAAGCTGACGTTTCGAGCGTTAGCCCTTCTGACGTGAAGCTTGCGCAGACTGTCATATATCGCAAAAATGACGGCTAGTTTGAGTTGTTTTGGCGTCTTTGAGGTGGCGTGCAGACATTGTGGATCTTGGTTTGAGCAATCTTCTGTATTTGGAAAGTCCAACATCTTTTGTAAAGAATGGCCTCAAGTCCTCTTCATTGCAGAGTTACACCACATTTTTCCACTTAATTATTCAAAATGATCGATAAGTATCAAAATTTGGAAGGAAAGGAAGAAAATGAACTTGAAATACATTTACTAGCAGAATACTTGATCTGAGGTATGAGCCAGGACTTATATTTTTCAAAACTTTCATCAAGTTGACCAGAATCCATGTAGCCAGTTTCGTCACTCAAGCCAAAAATGTTGTACTTTTACTTGCGACTGCATCGCTACATCTACGAAAGACGTCAAGGAACTATCTTTGGCGAAATCGAAGTTTATTAGCTATATTCCAAGATAAATCCTTGTTTTTCATTAGGACTGAGTTACAAAATTTTCCCCACTTTTCAGTGTCAAAACTTTTCAAGGTTTGAGGATGTTTAAAAGATTTGAAGAAAAATACAGCTTACATGCGACCTTGAAACTGGTGAGTTTTTACTTGTAGGATTTTACTGCTGCACATACACAGTATACATGTATAATTGGGTTGAACGTCCATCCAACAGATACCGTAAAGTCCAGAAAAACTGTTCCTGAGTACATGTGCCCCCTCAAAAAAGGACAATGTAAAAAGTTTCAGCATAACTTTTTTCATTGGGACCAAATTTGTGTTTAAATAGAGGTGTACCTTGAATAGAAGTCCACAAGGTGTCATGGATAATGGTGGCTGCTAATGAATGATCTGAATAACTCCATATATCCTCTGTTTGTGAATGGGTCTAATGTAATGGCAGAGGAACTTTTTACAAACTGCACAAGAACTGTTGGGATCAAGTTCCTTGCAGGCCTTGTGTCTGAACTAAAGCACATCCAGTTACCTAGAATTACATGGAACAGCAATTCATGCTGAAGCAGGGTTTTCTTTCAAAGCCTGTAGGTGGAGGGAACCTGATGGCTGTCAGACCATTTTGCATCAGCTACTTTGTGAATTGTAATCAAAGACAGGCTATTAGTACTTTTGATGCCTGCAACATGTACAATGTAGGAAAGTATAATTCAATTTAGCTGCTAACTCATTGCATTTAATAATGACAACTTTGTGCTTTGGTGCGTTCATTTAGACCCAGTTAATCCAACTTCTCATCAAATATCTGAAAGCAATTTACTTTTATGGCACTTAAGTCTTCATATTGTGTCTGAACTGCTGGAAAAAAAAATGGTATTTCTGACGAATGAGTCTGCGAATAAGGCAGAAATAAATATTTTGTCGGCATGAGATACGACAAGGCCTGGGCCTTAGGCCCGAGCATCATGGGTAATGATGCAGTGGTATATAAAGGAAAGTATAGCACGTGGCGTCCATCTAGGCCTCAGAACCAACCGTTCACCTCTGGCTGATGACAAATTCAGTGGCCTCTTGGAGCAGACCGTTTCTCAGATCAAACGGTCGAACGAAGAATCGGCGGAAAGTCAGATGAAGGAGACCAAGCGCCTCAAATTCAACGAGTCTCTTAAGAAAAACATAGTGACTAGAGGACCGCTACAACTCAGGTGTAGTTCTTTCCTTCGTTAATATCGAAGCTAGTAGTTTGCCTTCGCAATCGGAATTAGGCAGTGCCATTGACTCGGATCCTAGCGTTGGCGCTTGTGCTGATTCTTTCCTGTTAGATTCCTTCGGATTCAGGCTCTCTTGCAGTTGATTTGACCTATTCTTCTGTGCGTGGAGGGCTATTATGCAGGGTTACAAAATTCCCTTCCTCCAACTTCCAACACCTTTTGTTAAGAGAAACAATACTTCTGCTCGTGAGAATAGTGATTTTGTTTCGCAAGCTGTCAGCGATTTACTTCGTTTGGACCTAATAGCATAACTTGTATGTAAGCCCGATATCATTAACCCACTTTCAGTTTCTACCCGTAGTTCGGGAAAGCAAAGGCTCGTTTTGAATCTTCGACATGTCAACCAGTTAATATACGAGCAGAAGTTCAAATGTGAAGATCTGGGTGTCGTTACGCAGTTGTTTTGATCGTAATTATTACTTGTTTAAATTTGACCTTCAGTCTGGTTATCGCCACATTGAAATTTTCCCAGACCACAGAAAATTTCTCGCTTTTGCTTGGGATTTTGGGAACGGAGTTTCAAGATATTTTCAGTTCTGAAAATTTTCAGAGCTCATAGATCCTCTGTGCTTCCTTTCGGGTTTTCTTCAGCCCCGTATGTTTTCACATCGATTTTTAAGCCATTACAGAAATCGTAGAGGAGCCAGGGCATCCCTATAGCTATTTTCCTCGACGATGGTTTAGGAGGGGGAACAGATTTTGTTTCTGTTAAAGCTAACAGTTTAGTCGTCCATTCAGATTTGCTCAAGTCTGGATTTGTTCATAATGAGGAAAAGTCCCTTTGGGAGCCTCTCCAAGTTATCACCTGATTGGGTGTGATTCTCGACACTATTGATGGGACTAGACAAGCAACCGACGAACGTATTGAAAAGTTAAACGCTGGCCTTGTTGAGCTGCTGTCTTGTCAACCTCCCCGGAAACTGCACGTGAAGGGAGTCGCCATTGTAACGGGTCAAATAATTTCCCTCTCTCCCTGTGTGGGTTCCTTCGCCCGTATTATGACTAGATTTCTTTCCTTGGTCGTGAATTCGGCGCGCTCTTGGGAAAGCGAAGTTTTTCTCTCAGACGACTCTCTTTCAGAAATCAGTTTCTGGAAGAACAAATTGGTATTCTTCAATAGCAAGGTTTGTTGGTCGGTCCAGTCCCTTCCGGTCAGGGTCACCTTTTCAGATGCCCCCAATTCGGCTTGTGGTGCTTTCATAAAAGACT